CCCTGTCACTGCTGTCAGAATGCGCGGGGCCATTCAACATAGCAAGCATGGGTCTGAGCGAGGAGGGTCATTATTGCACAGGCTACGGAGCGGCTCCCTGGGTGCTTTCCCAGGCCAGGTGTCCACCTCCAAGTGCGTCAAAGGCTGCAGGCCCGGGAGACGCTTACCAGGGCCCGAGGGAGGACGACAAGCGGGGACGCTGGCGGAAAGGTTAAAGGCGGAGTCGCAACCCAGCTGAGCCCGCAGCTCTGGGAGGCTGGTTCCGCCTCTCTCCCGAAGCGTAGTAGCTTCCGTCAGCTTTGAGCACCAGGACACAATCGCTGCCTTCCCTGAGCCCACAGTCGGCTTCAAGCTGGAGACTAGAAACTACAAGTCCCCAAAGACCGCGCGGCTCAGCCCGCGCAACAGACCCAGCCAGTCACCGCACCGCTCCGACCAAGTCAGAGTCACGCTTTGCCAAACAAGCAACTTGTCTCGTGCAATCAGCGTCCCGCCTGCCCTATTAGTTCCTTGTCTTCCCCCACCAGATTCTTGCCTTTTCCAAACCGCTTCCAGCCGGTTCCTGTGGCTGTGCCTGGCCCAGTCAGCGGTTGGTGCATCCTCGCGCCCACGCCTGGTGGAAACAGACTCAGGGCTATGTTGGCTACACACGGGAGTAGGGCGCCCTGCGGCTGGCGGCGGCCCCTGCGGAGAGGAATGGCCCGGGACCTGTGGAGGCTCGCCCATTCCCTGGGGACCCCGTCCTCGGCCTGAGAGTGGTGTCAGGGCTTTGGAACCAGAGCAATTGCATCTTGAATAGGGGCTTGGTTAACTAAGGCTAAGACCGGTTGGTCTACCTTTCCAGTAAGTTGAGGCATTCTTAGTCACAGGATGAGATAGGAGATCTGTACAAGATACAGGTCATAAAAACCTTGCTGACAGGCCGGGCGTGGTGGCTCACACCTGTAATCCCAGCATTCTGGGAGGCCGAGGTGGGCGGATGACGAGGTGAGGAAATCGAGACCATCCTGCCAAACATGGCGAAACCCCGTCTCTACTAAAATTAAAAAAAAAAAAAAATAGGGCCGGGCGCGGTGGCTCACGCCTGTAATCCCAGCACTTTGGGAGGGCAAGGCGGGCGGATCACTTGAAGTCAGGAATTCGAGAACAGCCTAGGCAACCTGGTGAAACCCGATTCTCTACCAAAAATAAAAACATTAGCCAGAAACGTCTATAGTCCCAGCTATTTGGAAGGCTGAGGCAGGAGAATCCCTTGAACATAGGAGGTGGAGGTTGCACTGATCCAATATCACACCACTGCACTCCAGGCTGGACAAGAGAGTGAGTGACACTTCATCTAAAAATAGTAATAATAAAAGTCATCTAAAAGGAAAAATGGCAAAAGTTAACATAATTTTTAACAGGTATAACAATGTAGGGTGTGTCCTACCAAAATGAAAGTGTGTATTGTTAAGCCGAAGTATTTAAAACTGTAACCCTGGAGCAGACAGAGACAAATCAATACAACAAAGCTATATAGAAGTAACATTTGTGGCATATGATAAAGCAGCCATTTTTAAGTGATCCAGAAAAGAGGAATGTTCAGAAAATGTGCTGGGGGAGTATACAGCTATATGGAAGAAAATTAAGTCAGATCTCTATCACACCATACAGAAAGTTAAATTTCGGACAGGATGAAAGAACAAACGTAAGGCCGGGCACAGTGGCTTGTGCCTGTAATCCCAGCATTTTGGGAGGCCAAAGCGCAGGTGGATCACCTGAGGTCAGGAGTTTGAGACCAGCCCGACCAACATGGTGAAATCCAGTCTCTACTGAAAATATAAAGATTAGCCAGGGGTGGTGACAGGTGCCTGCAATCACAGCTACTAGGTAGGCTGAGGCAGTAGAATCGCTTGAACCTGGGAGGCAGAGGTTGCAGTGAGCCAAGGTCATGCCACTGCATTCCAGCTTGGGTGACAGAGCAAGACTCTGTCTCAAAAACAAACAAAAACCAAACTCAACAATTTATCAAAAGGATGACAGTATATTCAACCTCAGTTTGCTTGAGGAATGCAAGAATGCTTCAATCTCCAAAAATTTATCAATATTTGGAACAGTTCCATCATCCCAGAAAATAAGAGATCGTGGCTTTTTGTAATCATTTTCTCCCCCTACCTGAAGCTTTTGGGAACCACTGATCTGTCTCCTATCCTCATCATTTTTTCTTTTTCAGAATAAAGGGTATTGCTGTCTTGTGAAACAAAAACAAAAACAAAGAAACAAAATTGTCCAATTGCGAAGTGTTACTGATGGGGTTTGCACTCCACTCTTTTTACACTGCTACACTAATTCTTTTTTTTTTTTGAGAGGGAGTTTCGCTTTTGTTACCCAGGCTGGAGTGCAATGGCACGATCTCGGCTCACTGCAACCTCCGCCTCCTGGGTTCAGGCAATTCTCCTGCCTCAGCCTCCCGAGTAGCTGGGATTACAGGCATGCGCCACCACGCCCAGCTAATTTTTTATATTTTTAGTAGAGACGGGGTTTCACCATGTTGGCCAGGATGGTCTCGATCTCTTGACCTCATGATCCACCCACTTCGGCCTCCCAAAGTGCTGGGATTACAGGCTTGAGCCACCGCGCCCGGCCAACCACACTAATTCTTAACTCTACCATACCTTTTTTTCTAATAAGAGATTTTTTTTTTAGAACATTTTTAGATTTACAGAAAAATTGAGAACACTCCATTTAGAGAGTTCCCATGTTACACCATCACCCACACAGTTCCTGCTAAAATTAGCATCTTCTACTAGTGTGGAACATTTGTTGAAATTAATGAACCAATATCAATACATTATAATTAAGGTCCATAGTTTATGGAACTAAAGTACATGGTTTGCACGCATAGTTTACATGGCTCACTCCTTGGGTTGTACATTCTAAGAGTTTTTTTCTTTTTTGAGACAGAGTCTCGCTCTGACCTCAGGTGATCAAGACCAATGTGGCCAACATGGTGAAACCCCGTCTCTACTAAAAATACAAAAAATTAGCTGGGCATGGTGACACGTGCCTGTAGTCCCAGCTACTCTGGAGGCTGAGGCAGCAAAATTGCCTGAACCCAGGAGGCGGAGGTTGCGGTGAGCCGAGATCGCGCCATTGCACTCCAGCTGGTAACAAGAATGAAACTCTGTCTCAAAGAAAAAAAAAAAAAATTAGCCAGGCATGGTGATGTCCATCTGTAATCCCAGCTACTTGGGAGGCTGAGGCAGAAGAATCGTTTGAACTCAGGATGTGGAGGTTGCAGTGAGCAGAGATTGCACCACTGTACTTTTCAGCCTGGGCAACAGAAAAATTAAATGCTGTCTGAAGAAAAATTAAATGCCTGTAATCCTAAATCACAGAAATATCAGGATAGATACAAAGCGTATTTTCTCTTAAAAAGCCATTCTCAGGGCCGGGCGCAGTGGCTCAAGCCTGTAATCCCAGCACTTTGGGAGGCCAAGGCGGGTGGATCACGAGGTCAAGAGATCGAGACCATCCTGGTCAACATGGTGAAACCCCATCTCTACTAAAAATACAAAAAATTAGCTGGGCATGGTGGCGCGCGCCTATAATCCCAGCTACTCGGGAGGCTGAGGCAGGAGAATTGCCTGAATCCAGCAGGTGGAGGCTGCGGTGAGCCGAGATCACACCATTGCACTCCAGCCTGGGTAACAAGAGCGAAACTCTGTCTCAAAAAAAAAAAAAAAAAAGCAATTCTCCATTGAAGAATTCTTTAATAGCTACCCTTGTAATAATGAGTACTTCTAGTGCACAGATTGTGGTCTCTAAAACACATTTCCCACCAGAAAGAACCAGGCTCCTTAGAGAAATGATATATTCCAGGGCTGGGGCAGGACATTTGCAGAATGCCCATACCAGAAAGCAAACAAGCTATCAGAGAGTACTGGGGCCATGTCACAAGAACCAGAAGCCAACTTAAAGGAGCTCCTCTTGGCCAAGTTTGGGTCAAGTGGAGAGTCAAATTATTCCCTGCAGTGAATTAAAACACATTCAATATGTTAAAAATCCACATATATAGAATAGACTCACTGGCCACCTTCTAAGGATGCTAGCAAATCACCTCAGTTCTCTCAAAGCTGGTAAATAAAGGGAAAAAAATAAAGCATTTATTCTGCCTTTCCCAAACAAATTGTACCTCAAGGCAACAAAAAAGCTGATAAAGGAAAGTTTTTCCATATGGAAGAATTCCAGATGCAGAAGGAATGACAGAATTAGAAAATCATCATTTAGGTGTACAAGAAAAATTCCTAAGAAAATCATAATTTGTAATTCCTAATGAAACAATGGGTGTAGGCAATGATCATCAATAACTGCAAACGCCATTTGGTGAAAAATGTTGAAGAATTTTACCATAGATTGATCAGGCGGTCAACACTTGAAGGCGCTCATCAAAATAAACATTACAGAAGTGCATAACCAGACATTATGTGCCTTCTGATATGATGCAAGAAGGAAAATATAACCTCTGAAGGATTCTCGTCCCACAAACATATAAACTTGAATCTAATTAACCCTGCAGATCACTGGACAAGGGACAGATCAATGACACTATAGGGATACTCAGCATCAGCAAAATCTGGAATGTGGTAAATTCTACAGAAAAAATTTACCTGGTTTCAACAAATAAATGGAAATAAAAGGAAAAAGCACATGTAGGAGACATCCATATGAGACGTAAGTACATATTAACCAAATGCAAGCTATGAACTTTGTTCAGATTCTAATTTGAATAAATAAAATGTAAAAAAAAATGATACATTGGGGTACTTTAAACACTGAATATTTTATGATATTAAGAAACTATTCATAATATTATAGGTGAATTAATGATTATATAATGATTTACTTAAAAGTCTTGTTTTTTTTTTTTTTTTTTTCAGAAAAAAGTCTATTTTTTTCTAATAGGTCTTGGTATTGATTTTTAAACAGCTTGGGACGTAATTCACATACCATTCACCCACTTAAAATATGTATGGTTTAATATACTCACAGTTTTACAACCATCACTACAATAAATTTTAGAACATTTTCATTACCCCAAAAGGAAACCAGAGTTTCTCAAATTCCCATTCATTGGAATTTCTGGTCAATCTTCCCTATCCCCAGACAACACTTTTTTTGGACTTGCCCACTCTAGAAAAAAGCATTATCTTTCAGAGATACATTTTTATTTATGGATGAAATAAATTTATAATTTATGTGTCTGGGATTTGCTTCAAAATAATCCAGTGGTGGGGGCTGGGAGCAGATAGGGATTAAAAGGCAGAATGCTGACCAAAAAGCCAGGTGAAGGTGACTGATGCAAGGAGGGCTTCATTATACTGTTCTCTCTACTCTTGTATGTTTGAAATCTTCTATAATAAAAACAAACAAGGTCATTTATTATCTCATAATGTAAAGTCCCTGAGGTGGGCATAGGAAATGCAGATTCAGTGGCACAAAGAGGATTCATTCCATCACAGATACTGGTTCTTTCCATCTTTCCGCTTTGCCATTCTCAGCATGCTGACTTTACCTCCTGGGCTGGCTTCCTCATGGTGCCAGTGTGCTTGTGACTGTTCTACACATCACAGGCAGACGTCACTGTCCAGGGGCAAAAGGGGACACACTGCTGTTTTATGTCCACGTTTAAGACGGAGGGAAGCTTCCTCAGAAACACCCAGCAGCCTTACTTCTCCTTGGCCAGAACACCCTTGCCTAATTCACACAGCAAGGGGCTTGGGACCATTCTGATTAGCCTAGAAGAGCCTCCCTTAGGGAGTTAGATTCTAGATTTCCTGGACGAAAGTAAAGATTGCAGGGTTGTACAGCTAGGTATGAAAATACGCAAGTAAAAAGGTGATGACTGTTGGGTAAGGCTACCGACAACGTCAGCCACAAGGCAGTCAAGCCAAGCGTTAGTCACAGAAGTACCCCAGATACCAAAGCGCAGTCCAGGAGCTGAGGACGCCTGAGCCGCAGTGGTTCCCGCCTATCTGGCCTGCATAGGAAACTCCTGTGGTCTCCCTCATTGAAGAGCCAGGACGGGTCAGCCGGTAGTGGGCCTGACACTGAGGCCCACAGCGCACTGAGACGGAACCTCAAACCATTTATAGTAACAGAACTCTGTCCCGCAACTTCTGCAGCAATAGGTACGAAAACGACTTCATCAGTAACTGCCAGCCTCCCTATTCTTTTTTTTTTTTTTTTTTTTTTTTGAGACGGAGTTTCGCTCTTGTTACCCAGGTTGGAGTGCAATGGCGCGATCTCGGCTCATCGCAACCTCCGCCTCCCGGGTTCAGGCAATTCTCCTGCCTCAGCCTCCCGAGTAGCTGGGATTACAGGCACGCGCCACCATGCCCAGCTAATTTTTTTTTTTTTTTGCATTTTTGGTAGAGACGGGGTTTCACCATGTTGACCAGGATGGTCTCGATCTCTTGACCTCGTGATCCACCCGCCTCGGCCTCCCAAAGTGCTGGGATTACAGGCGTGAGCTCAGACCCAGCCGGGCGCCCGGCCCCGGCCTCCCTATTCTTTTTCCCTGTCCCACTTAGGAGCAAGCACAGAAAGCCAAACAGGCTCCCGCAGCAGTCACACAGGACAAGTCACCTCCAGTTAGCATGCTGACAGCTTCCACTCGGAATGCTCCACGCGGGGCACACCCGGGGCTTTGTTTCTGTCACTAGGACGCGTCCCCGTGCCCAGGCTGTCTCCGAGTCCCCGCCACAGGCGCGGATGGCGGCGGGCGCCCTTGCCCCCGGGCTCCGGGTTAACGGCCTTGGACCGTTCTCAAGAACGCAGTCTTGTCTCTCCTCAACAAGCCAAGGCGCCGGGAAGGCCCCCGAGGACATGACAGAGCCGAGCACCATCAGGCGCTAGTCCCGCCCTGGATGCCGGGCGCCACCTCCCACAGTCTCGGCTTCGGTTGCTGGATGAGAACCAGCGTGGCCGTTCAATGGGGAGGGGACAGGCGCGCCAAGGAACAGAACCAAGAAGCAACTTTCTAAGCCACAATGCTAGTCGCGATCACAGGAAAAAGCTCGTCTCGCCACCGCGGGGCCGCAAGCTCCCGCCGGGAATAACGACGCCTGAGAGAGCAACGGCCACAGGCGCGCGGACTTCTGGGAGTTGTCGTAAGTTGCGCAGAGCGCGGACACTTACGGCAGCCACCGGAAGCACCGCCGTTGCCCGGCGCCTGCGAGTGAGTCTGGCCCTTCCTAGGTTGGCGCGGAGGCTTCGCTGTTAGTCGGCTGGAGCCGGAGCGCGGGACCAGGCCGGAGCGGCCCCAAGTGACCTGGGCGTGCCGGAGAAACGAGCTGGGCGGGCGGGCGTCCCTCAGTCGGCGAGGCCGGACGGGGGCAGGGAACTGATGTAATCGGAATGTCTCCGGTCTCAGGGACAGGGTCCGCCTACAGCACCGCCCGGCTGGGTCTGAGCTTGTCGGAGGCTCTCCTGCTTCAGAGCTGGCAGGGTACTGATAGGGCCGGGCCTCCGGGCAGGAGATGGGCCTGGCTGGGCACACGTGACACAGGGGGTCTGGGTCGAGGGCTGCAGGGGCTGGAGATTGAGGCCGGCGTGTGTTGCTCTGGGTCTGCAGAACCAGCTGGCCTCCCACGCTCCGCTCCCTCACCTTCTACGGCTTATCCACAGGTGGTGGCCAAGAGCCTCCTGGCGCAGAGGCACCAGGCAGGTGGCGCCTGTTGCAACGCAGAGGTCATCCTAGCTCCAGACGCGGACACGTTTTCTTCCAATGGTACGTGAAGCTTGAACCTTGAAGAGAACGTGTGTGTTTTCTAAGTGAGAAGAAGATTAAGGCCAGGCAGGGCAGGGGTAACTGGGGTGTTGGGGGTCTGCAGTGGTTAAGCAACACTGGTGTACCCCAGTGAGGGACTGCAGAGGTGAACAGGATGGGATGTATGTGTAATGCCTGTAAGTGAGTTACAGGGGTTCCATTTGTGTTCTGTCAAGAGTTAATGGGGACCGTATGGGCCGGGTGCGGTGGCTCACGCCTGTAATCCCAGCACTTTGGGAGGCCGAGGTGGGCGGATCACGAGGTCAAGAGATCGAGACCATCCTGGTCAACATGGTGAAACCCCGTCTCTACTAAAAATACAAAAATTAGCTGGGCATGGTGGCGCGTGCCTGTAATCCCAGCTACTCAGGAGGCTGAGGCAGGAGAATTGCCTGAACCCAGGAGGCGGAGGTTGCTTTGAGCCGAGATCGCGCCATTGCACTCCAGCCTGGGTAACAAGAGCGAAACTCCGTCTCAAAAAAAAAAAAAAAAAATTGGGGACCGTACAAGGCAGTGCTAATGAGAAAGGCATGGTGTTGGATTTCAGAGCCTAAGGGAGTAGGGAAACATCTGATTGTGGAAATGACTCCGTCTACAGAGGGATGCCGAAAGACAGGAAGGAGTGGAGGAAGACTGTTTCCTTTTCAAGCGTGGAGCCAGGATAGAAGTCACTGTGCAAGGAAGATGGGGAATTCCTTGTCAGTCTCTGCATGGGAGTTGAGCATGTGGGTAACATGGCTGAATGTGGAGGAGGGAATGGCAGTGGCAGGAAGTCCCGGAGGTTTGGGCTAGACATGTAACCTGGGGCAAATTGGAAGCATCACCCCACAAGCAGGGAGAGAGAAAACTGGAAAAGAAAAGAGAAAGAAACTCCCTCCACAGCCCTGCAGCCAGAGGGACTCCTGCCAGATCAGCCCCCATGTAAGTCCAGTATGAGGAACAGAAGGGGAATTTTATGTCCAAGTATAATCACTATGAATAAACATATTTTTTTTTTTTGAGACGGAGTTTCGCTCTTGTTACCCAAGCTGAGTGCAATGGCACGATCTCGGCTCACCACAACCTCCGCCTCCTGGGTTCAGGCAATTCTCCTGCCTCAGCCTCCTGAGTAGCTGGGATTACAGGCACACGCCATCATGCCCAGCTAATTTTTAGCATTTTTAGTAGAGATGGGGTTTCACCATGTTGACCAGGATGGTCTTGATCTCTTGACCTTGTGATCCACCCGCCTCAGCCTCCCAAAGTGCTGGGATTACAGGCGTTGAGCCACCGCGCCCGGATGAATAAACATATGTTAAGCTCTGTAAAGGCAACTCAATTAATTCTTTCAGCATCCTCACAAGGAAGGGCTTGCTGTTTTTCCAGATGTCTACAGATGAGGAAACTGAGGTCTGGAAATGTTAAGGAGGCCTGTTTACAGTCCGACAGCAGCAGGTAATGGAGCCAGTGCTTTGAAAGCAGGTTGCAAAGTGAGTGTTCTCAGCCCTTGCCCTCGCCCTTGCGTTTGCCCTCAGATGTCTCCAGACAAGGAAGGAAAAGGTTAGAGAGAAGAAATGGACACAGGTAGTGAAATTCCCCAGGGAAGGCCAGGAGCATCAGGACAAGATAGTATCACATAGGATATTTGGCAGCCTTCTTGGATATGGTCTACATTTGTGTGTGTGTGTGAGTGTGTGTGTGTGTGTGTGTGTTTGGGAGTGAGAGAGCAGAGCAGAGATGGGGAAGAGGAGGAGGGGGAACTGAGGGTGTTGGGTCACTCTCTTCAGGACTGAGCTGTGAGAAGAAGAGGTGTGGAGGTGGGACACTGGGATATGGATTCATCTTGACCAAAAAGAAGACATCTCACCTTACAATTTAAAGGGAGCTACTAATGAGTGCAGGCTTGCAGGAGTCTGTGTGCCAGGAAGTTGAAAGAGTCCAGAACCATCCCTTGGAGTGCATTAAAAGGCAGATTTGTCTACATAGAGAGGATAGTGGTGGGAAGGGGCTGAAGTAGATAGTGAGAGCGTGAGCTTGCAGCTGGAAGGAGATGGTGACTGAGTGGATACTGGTATTCCTGACCTGCTATACCACCCAGGACTCAGAAACTAGTAGGGTTGGGCAGAGAGGACGGTCAAGGGCATGGGCAGATTGCACAGAACGAACAGGTTAGAGAGGCCAAGAGCCAAGGATGCTAAGAAAAATAACAGGGGCAGTGGGCTGGTCTGGGGTGGGGTGTACCAGCTGGGGAGGCTGGGAGCTGAGGTCATGTGCTTAGGGCCATGAGCTGTGGAGCTCCCAGCTTTGTACTCCCCAGCCACGAGGTCTCAGTTAAGTTTTACCCAAGTTTTTTCTGCTTTGGTTTCCTCATTTAGAAAACTGGGTAAATGCTGTTAATTGTCTTTGTGGGGTTATAAGGAAAATCAAATGAATGAATTGAAGCAGAGAACAGGGTACAGTGCCTGGCCCATAGGAAATACAGCCTGAGTGGTCAGTGGATTCTGAAGGGTAGGAAAGCCTGAGGCATTTGCTGGGGGAGGAGGCTGAGATCATAGGCCCTAGTATGTTTTGATTCATGTCTTATTTATTGATTTTGTAGATGGGTCTCACATGTTACCCAGGCTTGTCTCCTGCCTTGGCCTCACAAAGTGCTGGGAATATATGTCTTTAATGCAGAGCAGCTTTTTGCATTTTTCAGTGCAGTTTATTTTATTGTCAACTATCTGTTTGTGACTGTCACGTCTCTTCTTTTTCATAGGTCTTTATTTTCATTAAAGAAGCTTGAATATTTTGTCAAGTTCCAAAAATAGTCCTGGTGATATTTTTTTTTGAGACAGGATCTCCCTCTGTCACCCAGGCTGGAGTGGTGGTGTGATCATGGCTCATCGCAGCCTCTGCCTCCTGGGTTCAAGCAATTCTCCTGACTCAGCCTCCCAGGTAACTGGGATTACAGACGTGTACCACTACGCCTGGCTAAATTTTTTTTATATTTTTAGTATAGACCGGTTTTTGCCATGATGTCCAGGCTGGTCTTGAACTTGAAAAGTAATAGAAAATATAATATGTAATAGCAGAAATAAGACTAGTTCTCACAGTCAATGTAATGGGTAGAACTCTGTTTTAGTAGACACTTCAAAATTGAATTGAAAGGCCAGACACGCTGGCTTATGCCTATAATCCCAGCACTTTGGGAGGTCAAGGCGGGTGGATCTTGAGGTCAGGAGATCAAGACCATCCTGGCTAACATGGTGAAACCCTGTCTCTATGAAAAATACAAAAAAATTAGCCAGGCATGATGGCATGTGCCTGTAATCCCAGCTATTCAGGAGGCTGAGGCAGGAGAATTCCTTGAACCCAGGAAGTGGGGACTGCAGTGAGCCAAGATTGCACCAGTACACTCCACCCTGAGTGACAGAGAGAGACTCTGTCTCAAAAAAAAAGGAAATTGTATTGAAAATAAAAAGCTGTAATCCAAGCACTTTGGGAGGCCGAGGCAGGTGGATTGCTTGAGGTCAGGAGTTTGAGACCAGCCTGGCCAACATGGTAAAACCCTGTCTCTTAAAAAAAAAAAAAAAAAAGAAAGAAAGAAAGAAAAGAAAAAGTTAAAGCTATGCTCTCCTTAGAAGAGTCAGACGGTCCAGGTTTTGACGAACAGGTGGTGGGATGAGCATAGATCCATCAGTGAAAACAAATAAGGAAATGGATGGCAAGATAATATCAAATAAAGTAGACCTGTAATGCAAGAGCATTAAGAAAAAGACACTTTTATCATTTTTTTGTTTTGTTTTCTTTTGTTTGTTTTTTTATTTATTTTTTTGAGACGATCTCACTCTATCACCTAGGCTGGAGTGCAGTGGTGCCATCACAGCTCACTGCAGCCTTGGCCTCCTGACTCAAGTGATCTTCCCACCTTAGCCTTCTGAGTAGCTGGGACTACAAGTGTATGCCACTATATCCAGCTGACTTTTTGATTTTTTTGTAGAAACTGGGTCTCACTTTGTTGCCCAGGCTGATCTCCAACTCCTAGACTCGAGCAGTCTTCCTGCTTTAACCTCTGTATTAGTCTGTTCTCATGCTGCTAATAAAGACACACCCAAGACTGGGTAATTTATAAAGGAAAGAGTTTTCATTGACTCACAGTTCCACATAGCTGGGGAGGCCTCACACTCATGGCAGAAGGTAAAGGGGGAGCAAAGTCACGTCTTCCATGACAGCAGGCAGGGGGTCGTGTGCAGCGGATCTCCCCTGTATCAAACCATCAGGTATCATGAGACTTATTTACTATCATGAGAACAGCATGGGAAAGACCTAACCCCATGATTCAGTTACCTTCCACCAGGACCTCCCATGACATGACACATGGGAATTATGGGAGCTACAGTTCAAGGTGAGATTTGGGTGGGGACATAGCCAAACCATGTCATTCTGCCCTGGCCCCTCTCAAATCTCCTGGCTTCACATTTCAAAACCAGTCATGCCTTCCTAACAGTCCCCAGACTCTTAACTCATTTGATTATCACCTCAAAATTCCATAGTCCAAAGTCTCATCTGAGACAAGGCAAGTCCCTTCCACCTATGAGCCTGTAAGTTCCAAAACAAGTTAGTTACTTCCTAGATGCAATGTGGATACAAGCTTTGGGTAAATATACCCATTCCAAATGGGAGAAGTTGGCCAGAACAAAAGGGCAGTACACCCCATGCAAGTCCAAAATCCAGCAGGGCAATCCAATCTTAAAGCTCCTAACTGATCTTTTTTGCCTCCATGTCTCATACCCAGGTCATGCTGAGGGAAGAGGTGGGTTCCCATTGTCTTGGGGCAGTTCTGCCCCTTTGGCTTTGCAAAGTACAGCCCACCACCTTACTGTTTTCATGGGCTGGCATTGAGTATGGCTTTTCCAGACACATGGTGCAAGCTGTTGGCCCTACCATTCTGGGGTCTGGAGGACGGTGGCCCCCTTCTCACAGCTCCACTAGGCAATGCCCCTGTGGTGACTCGGTGCAGGGGGTACCCAATTGACATCTCCCTTCCGCACTGCCATAGCATAGGTTCTCCATGAGGGTTCTGTTCCTGCAGTACATCTCTGCCTGGACATCCAGGCATTTCCTTACATCCTCTGAAAGCTAGGCAGTGGTTTCCAAACCTCAGTTTTTTTTTTTTTTTTTTTTTTTTTGAGACAGAGTTTCGCTCTTGTTTACCCAGGCTGGAGTGCAATGGCTCGATCTCGGCTCACCGTAACCTCCACCTCCTGGATTCAGGCAATTCTCCTGCCTCAGCCTCCCAAGTAGCTGGGATTACAGGCACGCGCCACCATGCCCAGCTAATTTTTTGTATTTTTAGTAGAGACGGGGTTTCACCATGTTGACCGAGATGGTCTTGATCTGTTGACCTTGTGATCCACCCGCCTCGGCCTCCCAAAGTGCTGGGATTACAGGCATGAGCCACCGCGCCCGCCCCCAAACCTCAGTTCTTGACTTCTGTGCACCCACAGGATCAACACCACGTGGAAGTTGCCGAGACTTAGGGCTTGCACCCTCTGAAGCTACATCTCAAGCTGTTTGTTAGCCCCTTTTAGCCACTGGTAGGATGCAGGGCACCAAGTTCTGAGACTGCACAAAGCAGCAAGGCCCTGGGTCTACCCCACAAATCCATTTTTTCCTCCTAGACCCCCAGGCTCGTGATGGGAGGGGCTGCTGTGAAGACCTCTGACATTCCCTGAAGACATTTTCCCCATTGTCTTGGTAATTAACATTTGGCTCATCATTACTTAAACAAATTTCTACAGCTGGCTTGAATTCCACTGCATAAAACGGGTTCCACTCGCATCATCAGGCTGCAAATTTTCTGAAGTTTTAGACTCTGCTTCCCTTTTAAACATAAGTTCCAATTCCAAACCATATATTTGTGAATATATAAAACAATGCTTTTAACAGCATCCACCTCACATCTTGAACAACTTTGCTGCTTAGAAATTTCTTCTGCCATATGCCCTAAATCATCTCTCTCAAGTTCAAAGTTCTACAAGTCTTTAGGGCAGGGGCAAAGTGCTGCCAGTCACTTTGCTAAAACAGCAGGAGTCACCTTTGCTCCAGTTCCCTACACTTCCCCATCTCCATCTGAGACCACCTCAGCCTGGACTTTATTGTCCATATCACTATCAGCATTTTGGCCACAGCCAGTCAACAAGTCTCTAGGATATTCTAGTCCTTCCTACATTTTCCTATCTTCTGAGCCCTCCAAACGGTTCTAACCTCTGCGTGGTACCCAGACCAAAGTTGCTTCCACATCTTTGGATATCTTCATAGCAACACCCCACTGTACCAGTACCACTTTAGTATATTAGTCTGTTCTCATGCTGCTAATAAAAACATACCTGAGACTTGATAATTTCTAAAGGAAAGAGTTGTTGTTTTTGACACTGAGTCTTGCTGTGTTGTGGGGGCTGCAATGCAGTGGCATATCAGTTACTGCAACCTCCACCTCCTGGGTTCA